AAAAAAAAAAAAAAAAAAAAAAAAAAAAAAAAGTCATTTAAAAAATAAATAAATAAAAATAAAATGCTATATTAACTTCAAACTTTGAGTCAAGTTCAGAACTCCCATTTTTCTCTTCAAGAATGTTTAAATCAATTGGAAAAAGCTCAGTGGCAGAGTGCTTGCCTCAAATGTACAAGGCCCTGGGTTCAATCCTGAGGCTGCAGAAGAAACAGAAGTTTTCTTGCATACGGCTGATAGCCATGCCAGTTGCTCATGAACAAGGCAGCCAGCAAGAGGAGTGGGTATTCACAAGAGGTTCTAGAACTTACCTTTGGAGTGGGGCTGGAGGTTCCACAGGAGAAAGAGGGAAGCTGTAAGCGAGCTGGCTTTCCTCGAGACTTCTTGGCCAGAAGCAGAAGGTAGGTGGCTGTGAGGTGATCATACTGCCACTGAAGGAAAAGGAGATCAGCAGTTAAGACATTGCAGTGTATGAGGAAATGCTATTCTAGTTAAATTGCTCTTTCAATCCAATAGGCATTCAGAATTCTAAGTCAATAGCTTTGCAGAGACAAGGTATTTAACAAACCCCCATACCTAAAACTGCCCTGTGCAAAAAGAACTTCTAAACACCTTGAAGCTATTTTGTTATCAATTTCTTATTTCTAAGTTAATTTCCTTTGTAGTTCTAAATGTTTTATCTTCAGGTACTCTCCATAGAATTCTTAGTTATGGAAAAAAAGAATTTTGATCTATAATAACATCTTTCCTACACACATCTTCCATTTCCTCCTCTGGTAATTTTTAAACAAATCATTCCAAATTTACATCATAATGCGTTTATAAGTAATATTCACAACTAAATAGGGGTATTATTCTGAATATTTAATTATTATCATGATACAACTAGTCAGAACAGAGACCAAGAGGTGGCCAAGAAGACACTGGGGACCCTGCCACATCAACTGTTAACTAACTGTGAGATGAAGAGCTGAGGAAGTAGTTCAATTAGTCTAGCATGTGCAACCCTCAAACCCCAGCACCACAAAATAAAAGTAGACAAGATGTAGGGGAAGTGGTACCCAGGGTATCTGGGACAGGTAACAGCTAAGCAGTCAGAACAGTGGTTATTTACTAAGCTTTATATACATATTTTAACATCTTAATAATAGCCATACTGATCGGTTATAAGCCCAGGAGCCAAACCACACAGAGCTAAAGAAAGAAAGACACAAAAACAGAAGAGTAAGAAAGATTCCACATTCTCGTATTTCCTTTTTGTTGTTTTAGAACTATATCATTCTTAAAATCAGTTTATTTAAGTTCATCATTCTTCTGCTTCTCCCACAAATTCTAATATTCTTACCTCTCAACATTCACGGTACATCAGCTAACCTATCCTCCCTTCTCCTAGAGACACTCCCAGATATTGGCATTCCGTGTGCCACCTGCCTGTCTAGCAACTTCTTCTCCTCCATGCTACAATGTACCCTCACTTTCCTAGATCCAAGCATTCTTCTTTCTTGATTGACACTCTGGTGGTAGAAATCATCCTCCAGTAACTTTCTGAGGCTTGACAGGAGGTAAATGTTTTAAAGCCCCACATGTCTGATATATGACAGCATTCTAGCCTTGTGCTTGACTCTGGTTTGGTCAAGTAGAGAGTTACAGACCAGCAATAATTTTCATAGTTTGGAAGACACTATTCCTCTTAATTCTGGTACAGCTATATTTAAAAGAGCTCCCCAACTCCCAGGCTGTTAGTTTTTGTCTCTGAAAACTTTCATGGTCCTTCCCCAGTTTTCTGAAATTCCGCTAGAAGAGGCATTAACTGGTACGTATGTTTTCATCCTCTGTGTTAATCCCGGTTAATGTGAAGTTATCTTTACTGGTTTCTCCCCCTTCACTATTTAACCTTCCTCAGCCTTCTATTACTATTAATAGTAATATGCACAGTACATTTTCTTAACCCTTCTTTTTGTCTCTCAGTCCTACTTTTGAAAATGTCACCTTGACTTTATTTTCAAACATTTCTACCAAACTTTTCGTTTCTAGACAGTTTAGAGTTACAAGGGCTAGAGCTTAGAAAATTCTTTATGAGCCAGGCAGTGGTGGGACACACCTTTAATCCCAGCACTCAGGAGGCAGAGACAAGCGGATATCTGAGTTTGAGGCCAGCCTGGTCTACAGAGTGAGTTCCAGGGCAGCTAGGGCTACACAGAGAAACCCTGTCTTGAAAAATTGGGGTGGGGGGAGAAAGAAAAAATAGAGAGAAAGACAAAGAAAAAGAAAAACTCTCCAGACATTGGCAAATGTCCTCTGAAGGGAAAAAAACACTTCTAATTAAGAGCTGACCTAGACTAATACTTCTCTCAAGCTCCAAGTACAATGAATTACTTGGGGAATTTCAGATTCTGATTGAGTAGATCTGTGGTAGACCTAAACTTCGGAATTTCTAACAAGCACCTAAGGAAGGGCGAAGTTTGCCCTGGACTTTGGATTACAAGAACCTAAAACAGTACATCTCAACTCCTAGCAGTACAATGCAACCATTCAGGAAGCTTCAAAAAGGTTTTATGCCAAGCTGGAGAGATGGCTCAGTGGTTAAGAGCACTGACTACTCTTCCAAAGGTCCCGAGTTCAGTTCCCAGCAACTACATGGTGGCTCACAACCATCTATAATGAGATGGGGTGCCCTCTTCTGACCTGCAGGGATACATGCAGACAGAACACTGTATACATAATAAATAAACAAATCTTTTCTTTAAAAAAAAAAGGGGGGGGGCATTTATGCCTAGGTAATACCACAGACCAAATAAATCTCTGGAGGAGGGGCTTAGACATTAGGATTACTTAGAAAGTTCATGGGTAATTCCAAGATAAAACTACAGCTGAAAAATCCCTCATTTAAAGTGAGGTTTCTTATTTATTCATCTTTAGGACTGAATATAAATACAATAAGCTTTTAAGAATGAGAAAACAGCCAGGTGGTGGCGCACACCTTTAATCCGAGGCAGAAGCAGGAAGATCTCTGAGTTTGAGGCCAGCCTGGTCTACAGAGTAAGTCCCAGTACAGCCAGGACTGTTTCGCAGAGAAGCCGTGTCTCAAAAAGAAAGAAAAAGCTGATAGAGTGGCTCAGTAGATAAAGCCATCTGTTGTCAATCAAGTCTGATGACCGTGGTCCGATCCCTGGAATCCACATAGTAAAAAGAATGGATTCCACCAAGTTGTCCACTGACCTCCTATGCTCACTCGCCCCCCCCCCAAACACACACACACACACACACACACACACACACACACACACACACATGAAGAGCAGTACTAAAGAAGAAACACTGAGATTGGCGTGGTACTTGGGAGGCGGTGGCAGGAGGAGCAGTTCAAGGTCATCCTCAGTCAAGCTACAGGAGACCCTGCCTCACACTCACACTCATCTTTCAGAATAACCGACAGAACCTTTAAAGAAAGTAAGTTCTAAAATGCCTTAATATCTCTATTTTCTGCATCAGAAGGAAAGAAATTAGTTCAATTTTCACTTTTAAGTTTGAAAACTACACAGAGAATCTTCAGGATACCATTTGAAAGACTTTTTCCAGTGATGTTGAAACTGATTGTTCTAAGAGGCAGATTTTAAACAACTGTCAAATTCATTCAAACAACTTTTTTTCCTAGCTAAGATGACGTATCCACGATTCTCTGAAATATCCCAGCTGGCAAAAATAAATTATAGTGCTGAGATATAGTTAAAACTGGCTTATTCCCCCCCCCCTTTCCTGTGGGACTGGAGACTGAACCCAGTGCTTCACACACGGGAGGCAAGCACTCTGCATTAAGCTACATTCCCAGCCCTAAAGTTGGCACATTTTAATGACTGTTGAAGCTGGACGATGAATGCCTCATTGCTACCATCCTGGCTCTTCTTATGTAGGTGTCTGTAACTTTGTACTATAACTTTTCTGAGAGGAAAAAAAAATATATATGTGTGTGTGTGTGTGTGTGTGTGTGTGTGTGTGTGTGTGTGTGTACTAATATATATATATATATATATATATATCATATATGTACTAATAAATTTTAGCTGTTTTCATTCCCAACCCCCTCTTTCATCAGCCCTCCCTCTCCTAATGAACCCCTCTTCCCAAAAAATCTCATCCAAGTCTCCTCCTCTTTCATGCTCCTTTGGTGTGACCCACTGAGGTTAATGAGAGCTGCTTGCAAAAGCATGGAGAGAGATTCTTACTGGAGAGTGGACAACTTATCAGTGGCTACACCACTAAAGAAAATGGCCCCTTCCCCCGGAAACCTAGCTGCCAACAGTCCATCCACGATGAATGCTGACAGGCCCAATCTTGTTCCTGTCTGCTGCTGCCATGTCGTGTCCGGAAGACATCTTTCTGCTGCACATCTCTCCACCCTCTGGCTCACACATTCTTTCTGCCCATTCTTCCAAGATGTTCCCAGAACTTTGGAGAGGGTGATGGCTCATTTGGGGTCAAGCATTCCACCATCACTTACACTTAGCATTTTGGCCAGTTATAGGTTTCTGCATTAATTGCCTCCTAGGTAATAAAAAGCTTTTCTGAAGCCAAGTGCAGCACTAATCTTAGATGGTGACCAGGAGCTGGCTTTTGTTCATTTTTGAAACAGCGTCTCAGAATGCAGCACAGGCTTGTCTCACCTTCCCAAGTACTGGAATTACAGGTGTGAGCTACCATGCCTGGTTGGTTTCTGAGATGGTCTCACACTGTAGTAGCAATCTTCCTGCCTCAGCCCTCAGAGGACTGGGATCATAGGTGTGAACCACCAGGCCTGGCATTAAATTTCAAATTTGTCCTGTTCAAGGCTAAGGAGCTGTCACTTTCTGCAAACATACTCCAGAGCCACTTCATGCAGCGCCCTTTACATCTCACTGCAAAGCAGAAAAGCTCTGTTTTAAAACTAAGTGTTTAAGGTTTCTACCCTGGACGATGGAAAACGGAAAATAAATACAAAGCACAGGTGACTAAAGACGTAGTGTTGAACCAGGAGCAAGAGGGGGTATGGGACTCACTTGCCATACCAGACAGGACTCAAGAGCTGTGAATGCCTGTCTCTAGAAAAAGATCACATGTTTAGCCTAGATATCAAGGACCTAAAAGAGCAAAAATGATCCAATATCAGAAATCCTGCCAATGATTTCATAGCATCCATTTCACATGCTGATGAACAGCATGATGCTACAGAACTGTTTTTAGGGAAGAAAACTGTGGTATGACCTGGGCAGTAGTAGATGCCTGCAATCCCAGCACTGGGAAGGCAGAAGTTGGAAAACTGAGAAGGCTAACCTGGATTACATACAGCACTCCAGGCTAAGGCCAGTCTGAGGCATACAGCATACAGAAAAACTGTGAGTGTCAGTCAGACAGTCAGACAGTCAGACAGACAGACAGACAGACAGACAAACTGAGACAGTGTGGGGCATGTTATCTGAGTCTTGCTACCTGGGCTACTACATCTAAGCCCCTGCCTGAAAACAAAACTTTTATTCTTGTTTAGTTCTAGTGCTAGAAATAGAACCCGGAGCTTCAAACACACTTGGCAAGTGCTCTACCACTGGCTAGACACCCAGCTCTTGAAAAAAGATGTGTAAGTATGTTGTCTTCTTGTTTACAGCAGAACTAGAACTCTGTTTGAGAACTTTAAAACTGAAAGTCAGAACTATTAATTCTCTATGGATTCATTTGCTCTGATTCTCAACTGTTTATTCATTATATTTCTCCAATCAATGTCCAAAGTGTAGAGTTCATGTTTAAAGAGGACATCCAGGATTGGTAGAGAGCTCAGTGGGTAAAGGTACTTGTCATCAAGTCTGACAACCTGAGTTCAGTCCTTGGAACCCAATGGTATAAAGAGAAAACCAACTCCTTCAAGCTGTCCTCTGAGCTCTACACACTTACATGGTGAGTATGTGCTCAACACACACACACACACACACACACACACACACACACACACACACACACACACACA